ACCGAGACCTTCTCCTTCCAGCTCCCGTTCACATGGAGCTGAAAAGCCAATCTCCTTTGAAGTGTCCCGTGCCCAGTAGCCCAGGCTGTGGAGGAGGAAACATCTCCCTGCTCCTGAGTAGGAAAACCACGGACCCCCAAAGAGCCATGGCTCCCCAGCGGGCGCAACTCCCCAGGGATCTGGGGATAAGCAGAGCCCAGAAAGAGCAAGAAAAGGAGCAGGAGGAAGGGACCAGCCTGGAGCTGACCCTGGGGAGAGGGGGAAGAGCAGAGCATTTCCCTGGTCCCAGGGAAGGGATTTAGGGTGCAAATCCAGCCTGGTGCAATCCAGCCCTGCATACTTCTGCAAAGAGAGGTGTCTTTCCTCTGGCCTGATCCCAGTAAGAGGATCCCCCCTGGCCAGGGTGCCAGGGATGGTGCCAGCTCCATGGGCAAAAAGCAACGGGAGCCCCAGAGCTGCCTGGTGCCAGGCACACCAGTAGCAGCAGCACAAATCCTTCCCTTCTGGCTGCTGGAGGGGAAGGGTGAGGCAGGGGGAGCCCCCACCGTGTCCCCAGAGCCCCTGTGAGCCACAGGGATCACATCCTTCTCCCGCACACCCTCCAGCTCCGGGAGGAGGAGGAGGCCAGGATGCACAGCCCTGCGGTGGCTCAGCCCTTGGGGTCCTGTTCCCAGCAGAGACCCTGTGACACTGACTGTGCCCTGCAGAGTACGTCCCCAGGGTGTGTGGAAAGTCCCATCTCCCAGACCAGGGACACCATCCAGCCCTCCCAGGAGAGCAGAGGGAGCAGGTCACCCCCTCCAAGCTGAGGGACCCACCAAGGTGCCCTCAAGCAGTGCCACTGCCCCCTGCATCCCTGTGTCCCTAGCATCCCTGCTAGGGAGGGCAGTGTCCCCCCTCCTGCTGAGCAGGGACCTGGGAGAGGAGTTGGGGGACAGACAGGTTCAGATTTAATCCTGGATGTGAAAAAAAGTGCTTTTCGCACTCATTCCTGTCTTTTGGGCTTAAGCCCCCACTGGGGACCCCCCCCCCCCCGCCTGCGACAGCCACCCCAGGCTGGCCCATGTTCTTCCACGGGGAGGTCACCAGGGATGTGGGGGGGAGCGGAGGGGCTGTGGGGTGGCTGGGCAAGAGAAGGGCAGACAGCTTGCAGGGGGGTCTGGGGGTGGGGGGCATGAAGCCAAATGCCCCCCGCTTTCCCTTTCTGCTTTCCAATTCCCTGAGCCGGTTGCCTTGGGCTGATGTGTCATTTGTTCCTGCCAGGGAAGAGGGGACACCCCCCCCCCCCTTTAAATTCCTGCTATTGTGGAGTGGGAGGCCGGGTTGGACCTGGTTGTTTAGATGACATCACCGAGCAGGTTGGGTTATAAAATGAATGAAGCAGAAAGCCCAAGTTCACTAGCTCGGCACTTCGCAGGCGGCAGGAGGGACCTCGGGGCTCCGCTCTGAACTTTGACTCCCGTCGGTCCCAGCCTCTCCCCGGGGCTCCCCTTGGCTTCCCGCTGCCCCCCCCACCCCGGCCCCCCTCTCGCTCGGCCTCGCAGGATGCAGATCTCACCCTTGCTGGCTGGTGGACTTTTACTCGCTCTGCTCTCCGTCAGGCTGGAGGCGAAGCCGGCATCTCAGCTCCCACAGAAGGTATGGCTGGAACTGCCCCCCCGGCTCTCCCTCCTCTCCCCGTCCCGCTGAGGGTCCTAACGGCACAGGGGGGAGATGTGGGGTGACTTTGGGGTGGCAGAGTCAGTGCAAAGTGGGGTCCTCCTTCCCCATGGGCTTTTTGAGTTGCTAGGGGACCCCCCTGCTTCTTCTCCAGCCTGTCCCAAGCGTGCGTGTCCCAGGGATGTCAGCCCCAAACCAGGGGCTGGAGGGGAACGCCGTGTGCCCCGTACCCTGCGGGATCGGGGCCGGGGAGGGCGGCAGTCTGCTCCCCGGTGTCACCCCGGGACCCCGCTCCGTGCCGGGCACTGGGGAAGGGAAACAGACCTGGAGTGGGACGGGCAGCAGGTGCACGGTGGGCAGGGTGCGAGGCCAGAGCCCTCCGGGCAGCCCTGCCCAAACAGGCCAGGCAGGGACACCCGGGGCATCCCCCCGGGGAAGGGGCACCCCAAAAGGGGGTGTCCCAGGGAGCTGGGTGTCCTGCGATGCTGAGGAGGAGGGATGCACCGGAGGCCACCGACACTGGGTGGCACTGCCCCGAGGGCTGGGCGCAGAGACAGGGACACGGACTGAGGGGTGCCCCAGGACAGCCGTGGGACAGGACTGGTGGTGTCCCTGTAAGGAACTGGGGTGCAGGCTGCAGAGAAAGGGGTGATACGGGGGGGGTCGGGGAGATGAATGGGGGTGAGTATCCCCAGGGCTTGGTGGGCAGCAGCCCCGAGCAGGGAGACAGACGGGGGGCCTGTGCCCCCTGTAATTGTGGGTCAGAACTGGAGGAGTGGGGGGACCCAGCGAACATTAATTAGGGGAGGGGGCAGCAGGGAAGGGGAGCCCTGATCTCCCCACTGCTGCTGGGGACACTCTGCAGGGCAGGGATGTGGGGAGGGCTGCTCAGAGTAGTATCACTCTCCCGGAGCTGAGCTGGGGGCAGGAACTCCCCCCCATAACTTGAAGTGGCCTGAAAGATGGCAGGGGACGCAGTGACACCCCCCCCCAACTGGTCACTGCGTCCCCTGCCAGCTTTCAAGCCCCTTCAGACTACCGGGGGGGTGGGGGTGTGCAGTGACAGCAGCACGGCTGGGGGTGTTGCACCACCAGCCCTTTTTTGGTGGGGGGATGCGGTGACCCCAGCCGGGATGGGCACGCAGTGACCGGGAGAGTGCCGGGGGGGGGGGCCCGGGGGGAAGGGCGCGCC